AATCTCATTTAGCATGTCAAAAAGTATATTCATTGTTAATTCTCTGGACAGTGGAGAAGCAGACCTTGTGATAGACAGCTTTTGACAATCATAGCTGGGCTAAACCTCTTTAATGTTGGGATTTATCCTGTTACAAGTGTGCAGTGTTTGAAAAAGCTGTTCACTGCAGCTGAGTGACTGAACTAGCACTTACTTGGAATAGTGTGTGGGTACTTCAGACTCTGACCTGCTGTATTCATCACTTCATCTTTAAAAAACCCAAACAACACTCAACAAATCACAACTAAATGGGCAGAAATCGATGTTTTCTAAAACCAGATGCAAACCCATAAACTAAAATTATTCTTTATTCGGTGCCTACTAGAACCGGAGTCTGACAGTCCTAAACACATCCTGTTTATTTTATGCCACTTCTCTGGCCCGTGTCCCAAATAGCTGGGACACTTTTAGCATGAAGTGTAAGAAGGCAAAGCAGTTTGACAGCTGAGGTGGCTTTGTCACCCACAGCTGGGCAGTTCTGCGGTGGTGTGAGAGTCCAGAGCTGCTGAGGCCCCTCTTTTTGGGCTGTGGATGATGCATAGAGGCCCAAGTGAGCTCCACAGCTCCAGCTGTGGGAGGGGATGGCAGGCATGAGGACACTGCACTCTCCTCCAGGCACTCTGGGAGTGTGGAATGGTGTTTGTTCTCTGGGAAAATTTGAGATTTTGTATCTTTGACATCATGCTCTAAGACTTTGTGATGTGTGAGAAAGCATCAGTTGGCACCAGTGAGCATCAGGGCTGTCCCTTCATACACGTTCACTCCTGCCTCTTTTAATTTGCTGGTGCTGCAATATGATTTCAAGAACCCAGAATATTTGTCCTGCACATTCGTAGTGAAATTGGAAACCTTTTTTTTTCATTAAAAAGATGAAGTTGTTTTGGCTGCAGTAAAATCTAAGAACAATGTTTTACAATGAGGGAGAGATGTATGACATGCAGGACTTTTTGCAGTACACTGCTCTTACGCAACTCATTAGAGGGCCTAAAAGCCCTTTATTTTCTGGGCTGAGCTGGACTGCTATGTTTCTCCTATATAATATTTTATAAATTCTCATAAAAGAAAGAAACACCAGACTAAATTAATGTTTTGAAGTACCAGGACTTTGCAAATGAGGAATAAGACTTTGATTACCGCCTAAAAATCACAGTCTAAAATGTTATTTTACATGCTATCCTGAGTCAAGGCTTATTTGAAAAACAATCTTTTGACAGCAAAAGTAAATTCACATGACTATCTGCATAAGGCTGGATACATTCTGTGATGATGGTTTAAATTACCATCATCTTTTCAGCACCTCCTGATGCCATGAAAGGAAGCTTTCTTCACTGCTTGTCAATGCAGTGAGTCTGGCATGCTGAAATATCAGCCACGCTTCCTAGGACGATTTTCCTGCAAAGCAGATACCTGTAAGTGTAACCAATATTTGAAAGCTTTGGGTCTGAGTTCTGTCACCTACATGTTTTTTCTGGCTGTGCAAATTCTGCCATTGAAGCTAGCGTGGATTTTTGCATAAAATAACTTTGTAAGCCACGTGATGAAATTCTCCAAGTTAGTACTCTTGACTGTGTTTTGTGCTCTCTACTTGTGCTCCAAATAGAAAAGATAGTTAAAAATTCAGACAAAAGAATAAGCCTCATAACTTGCATTAACTTTTATTTCATTTTTGAAACTTTTTAACAACCTGCTGAATGACAGTGAGCAGGAGTCTTCCTTGACATGTGCTCTTTGAAATCACAACTGAATGTGGTCCCTGGTTTAAGGAATTTTTACTGAGTTTTCATTACTTTTTTAATTACTCTGTTACTTCTCTGCTTGGCTGAAAGGAAAAAGCTGGTTCTAGTCAAAACACTGTAATTAAATGTTCTGTAATGCAAACTCTTGCACAGTGGGAAGACCTGGCAAGTGGTGAGACACTTCACAGCTCAGTGTTTGCACTTGACTGTCTGCTTGTGTAGCAGCTGTACCCAGGCACTGAACGAGCCCAGGCTCGGGTATTGAATGTGCCGAAGCTTCTTTGGGCTTCTGACTTCACTCCTATTACTGTGCAGCCCAGCCTTTATGCACATCCTGCTTATGTGCCCAGCTCTTCCCATGGAACAGAAAACAACCCCCTCTTTCACGTGGTCGAAAGTGGAGTTGGCTGTGGGCTTGCTGGAAATTGTCCCTCTGGGATATCAAAAGCAAGGCAGTTGCATCACTCACTGTTATCAGATGCTGTTTAGAAATCTGGAAGCCTGAAAATGGAGGTTTGCACCTCGTCTTTGGCCAGGGATGGATCATCCATAAGACACTTGCATATCATTATCACAGATAATATTTTGTGTTACAGCAGTGTGCGGGGAGCGCAAATTCCAGACTCAGTTAAGCCACAGCTGCAACACCACCATCCTCTGAAAGATATGTAAGCAAAACGAACAAAACCAGCAGAAGACTGAAGAAAGGAGCTGGAACTAGACCCAAACGAGAGCAGGATGCTGAGAGCCAAGGCAGTCATTGCCAGCCTGGATATCACCCCGAGGTTTGTTCTGCATCTAGTTCTGTGGAGTCTTGTTTGGGAACAAGGAGCTATGGCTTCCTTAGTGTTGTTCATCAGTTTATGGCTTTTAATGAAAACTAGTTCATTTGCTCCTTTTGGCAGCATGCACACAGTAACCTGTTGCCAGCCTTGGTAGAGAACTGACACTGCATGTCCTTGTGTTTTGGATTCACCCCTTTGGATTTTCCCTCAGAGAGGCTGCTCTGTCTCTTCTCCCACCTTTCCCCCCAAGCTTCTCACAGCATTGCAGTCATCTGGGGGGCTTCTGTTTGTGTTGCTGCTTTTCCGTGGCTCCAGACACCAATGCTGCATCCAAAGTACTTATCTCAGGAAGCACTTCCAGCAAGGAACCTACACTGGTGAGAGTTTTCTCTTTGGCTTTCAGATACGTCCCTTTATCTTTTGCCCTTCTCAGTTCTCGGTCTCTTACCAGCATTGTCATCACCCAGTGCCTCTGCTGGAGCTGCTGGTGTCCGTGCAGCCTTAAGCCTGGTTTATCCTGTTTGTTAGACCAGTTTTACAGCTGATTCATTTCTCTTTAGAGGCCCAGAACTGCTGAGCATGGGGCACACCTCTGTCAGCCCTGGAGGGGGGAGCATCCCTGCCAGCCAGGGGCTGGCTGCTCTCCCCTCCTGGCACATCCAACAGCCCACGAGAAATCACTTCTACTGAAACTTTTGGTGAGGCAGACTGCAAGCTGACCAAGACCTTGGGGTTAAAAGTCTTGTTTCTTTCTTTCTTTTCAAGTACCATGATGTAATCGCTTAAAAATAAATTTTAAGATTTTGGTTGTATTTCTTAAAAGAAAGATTGCCTTTCCAGCAGCTCAATTTCCCCAGCACCAAACTGGGAGTTAGTTCAACACAAACACAGGAGGAGAGTGTCATATTCCGAAAAACCGTCTGCAGAACCTGCCTTTTCTTTTCTGGAGGGTTCTGCTGTTGGGTGCGTTCTGTGCACATACTGAACAAACTTAAGAAAACTTATGTCTAATGAAATTTTGAAAACCCCAGCCCTAGATCACAGCCCTCTGCTGCAGGCTGCGTGGGAAGCAGGGATCAGTCATGCTGGATGGCTCTTCAGATGCCCACTTTGTAGGAGTATCATTCTTGCTGCTGAGCTGGCTCTTGCACTTTCAGTAACACAGTACAGTTCAGTGTCAGTTCTGTTACCTTCAGGTTTTGGACAATTCCCATTCAGATCCTGCATTTCTGCTTGTTCTGGCTACTTCCAATTGCTCCAAGATGTTTTGCAGCTCACCTTCCTGCAGCAGGAAGGCCACTTTCCCTGCCTTTGATGAACAGCTCCTCGCTAGGACACTCCTCTGGCATGTCCCACTCCTTCCAGCCCCTCCACGTCCTGCACTGTCTGTTCCTTTCCCAATAAATCATTGGTGCTCAGCAGCCTCTGCAGTTTTATCTCAGGCAAATCTGCCCACTGGGTTTTCAGGGAGGAGCTTTGCTTTTCTGTTTTGGTGTTTAAAAGCTATTTACCTTCAGGGGCAGCAGAGCAGTCACTTAAAATAATAAAGGCACTAATTAATTGACAAGATGTTTTCACTCCAATTTAATCTGCCAGAATTTAACTCTGCCTGGAGGCCATAAACTGTCTTCCCTTTCTTTTTGGTTTCCATACCTTTCAGTTTTAGCACTTGTAAGGTTTTACTTAATCTAGTGCTTATTGCTGAAGTAGTTTGAGAGGCCAGTGTGAAAACAGGCACAAGTATCAAATGCTTCTCTCACCTTCTTTGGGCTGTGTCTTTTTTCCCCCGTTTGAAGGAGCATTTCTAAGCTGCCATATTGTATTGCTGACTGTTTCAAAGACTCTCCAGTGAGGAGCAACTTAGATGAGTATCAGGGCACTGCAATATTTTCAGCAGTGTTGTTAATCTTTCCACGTTGTCTCTGGAAACCTCCTTGAATCACTGTTTTGGTCTTAAATTAATATTAACTTGCTAGGCTGGAAGCAGTTGATTTTAGGATAATTTCTGACATACAGCTATTATTAAGTTGTGTTTAAATGTTGTCTAATAACATATTCTTCAAAGAAAACTATTAGTAGGCATCATAAACTCCCACATATCAGTTCCTGGCTTCCTTCCAGATATTCGTAATCCTTTTTCCTTCATCTCTCTTGCATTACCTGTAATTGCCTCTTGCATTACCCCCAGTGGCAACCTTGTCTCTTCTCAGATGAGCATTCAAAATTTGCTGTATTTGATATTTTGAATAGTTAGTGACTGTAACTGTTATTTTTAAGTGGTTGTTCAAAGACATGACCAGGTGATCTGAAGTGATGGGTAAAGTGAGGCTTGAGAGTGTGTGTACACATGTAGAGAAATAATTATCATCAGGTAAATATTACAGCTCTTCTCCAGCGGTGTTTAATGCATTACTGTGTCTTTCCATTGCTGAATGTGTAGTGAGGGAGAAAAGTGGGATACCAGAAGCTCAGGCAGCTGAACAACACTGGGAAACACCTTATAAATTGGCTTCAGACCCCCAGCCAGCAAAGTGGGAATTGCCCAGTGTTCTTGGGACCACTGACCTGCAGCTCCTGCCCGTGGCATCAGGAGAGTGCCAATAAAATCCCTACAGGGCCAATGGGAAAGAACTGCAGAGGCACTTTTTAATTTTCAAAATATTTTTTATGTTAATTATTATTGTCTCTATTAACAATAATAATTTGCATGTGGAAAAGCAGTCTCTGCAAGTGTTACCCAATTCTCACTAAACCCCACACAGATCTGCTGCTGTAGAGGAGGAGGTTTATTCACATTATGAGTGTTTAGCCTTCCAAAAGGCCACCTCTGCTTCAGGTAGGGGCTACATGGATATTAAGCCCAGTGAACATGAAGTAAATGGAGTATATTGTATGGGATAAGCAAAGGCTGTAGTGTACACCGTGAATGGAATGTGGTTTTCATTAGCAAAATATCTAAAAGTGAATTGGAAAATAACATTTAACAAGTATTGCCCTGAAATCAGTCATCATTTTAATTAAACAAACATAAGCAGGAAGTTGAAGATGAGATCTGAAGTCGTTAGCAATGAGCACCATAATAGGTAAGATATCACGTCAGTGTTGGTAATTCATTAATGATACTGGGAGAGATCATATAAAAATGACAGTTTCTATTTCAGAAAGAAATTGATGAAATGTTGGAAAATATGTGCTGCTGAGAGAGGGAGGATATGTCCCCCCTGTGACAGCACCATGACTGAGATGGAGCTTTTTCAGAGACCCAGATTAAAAATGAATCCCTGCTTGGGGCTGTGCCTCGGGCGCTCTCTCCAAACCCCTGTCCCCCATATGCTTGTCCTGGTGTGCTGAGCCCTGGATTTGGGAACCAGCCCTTCTCTGGCCCCTGGTCTGCTGTTCTTGCCCCCGGGCAAGGCAGATGTCTCACCAACTGTGTTCATGACAAGATCCAGTAGGGACAAAAAACCCTTCCAAAAATTCAAATGTGTTTTTTTTAGTTGTTTATTGGTATCCCTGAGTAGGATGTCCAGGTATCTCCGGGTGTCAGGTACCCTTCACTCTGGCTGTGAGCATTTTGGTTTCTGTTCACTGTGACACTGTCCCTCTGGCACAGTGACCCTTAAAAGTGCTGATAAGAAAACTCAAGCTTCCACTAAAAGGCATTTTTATAGTCTATGAACTCTTAAGACAGCAACACTTGCTTGCTGGGCTAGAGTTTAAACCACCAGCACGTGGAGGGCAGAAAATGCCCCGAAGGTGAAGCAATATTAGGGGCCTGAAGGGGAAAGGCAAAAGCAAATGCAAGGAAACAAGAGGAAATAAAAGACAGAATAACAGTAGGAAGCCATCTGACTGTGTTCAGCATACAAAAATGCCAGGGGAAGTACCTGCAGTTTATAAATTTAAGTATCTCTTGCTTTTTAAAGAAGAGAAAAGCTTAGTGCTGAAGTAAAGTACATGTGAAAGTGAAACCTTATTTAGTTGGCATTGAGCTGTGTCCTGGTGCCCTCCTCCTCCATCAGACTGTGAGTGGCGTTTTTGTGCCAGGAGCTCAGTCGGTGCCTGCAGCTGTTCAGCCTGGGCCATCCCAGGCTGTCCTGGGAAAGGGGAAGAATATTCCTGGCAAATCCCGTGGGCAGAGCCAGTGCAGGACGGTGCACAGCAGGAGTGACTTCCATACAGCTCCCTGACACTTCAGGAGCAAACCCTCAGGGTGTTTGTCCAGGCGCGTTGTCCTTGCAGTCCTGGGACGTGGGCCCTAAAGGATCGGCGAGGGGGTCTGGGGAGCGCTGGGCAGTCTGCTAGGCTGCATTAGCTGTGAAATCCCATAGAGAGAGGGAAAGAGGTTTAACTTTGTGTATGTTTCCCTCCGTTTAGCCGGTGCAGAACAGCAGGCTGCCCTGATTAACCCGTTTCCCCTGACACAAACCAAATGGCTTACAGCTTGAGTAACTGTCTGTGGAGTCCCACGTTTATTATAAATTCAGGAGATGAAAAAATTATTTCAGTTTCTGTGTTTTTTACAGCATTTCCCACCAGAGAATGCTTACACTTGTAAAACAATAAATGCTATAGTATAACATAGCAAAACTAGTAAAATTATTTACAAAGGGCCATTATGGTTTCTTTTGGAGAAATAATGCAGCATTTAATTTTAAGATACATGTGCCAGGCATAACTTTTAGATGCTACAAAAAGGAATGTAAATATAGAAGTGCACGTGTGCAATAAGGTACATTCATGATCTTAATTACTTCTCTCACTAAAAATAATTTGCCTCTGTGTTTCATTTCATCTCTGCACCACCAGTTTCTGAAAAGCAAATTACTTTGCTAAGCAGTTCAAGGGAAAAAGTTCAGCACTGAAACTCCCGTGTCCCACTTGGGCTGGTTTTAAAACAAGGTTTCATGGGAGGACTGGGTTTGCGGAGGATCAGAGAGAAAGTTGTGTTGTTTTGGGGCAGTGAATGGATCAGGGACATTTCTTCAGTTAAACTAATTTGTTCCCTGACGAGGTTTTTTCCATTCTTGCTGTAATGCTGAATTCCAGAGCAAATGTTGACTGCTGCTGTGACAGGATGGTGGTTGGAAGAGAAATGCTTGGCACTGCCTCCTGTTACTCATTGTGCAGTCAAGTCAGAGCCAACTTACAAAATGGGAAACTGCACATTAGCATGAAGAAACTTAGTCCTGGAAGCAAAAGATGCAAATCCATCACCTACCTGACCATTTCATCCTCTTTTCTCCTTCTTGCTGGAATAATGAAGGCCAGTGGCTTTAATGGCAGAGACGTGTCCTCTGTATTTCAAGGGGTACTTGACCTCCTCAACCAGCTTTTTCTGTTGATATTCCCCACAGATGAATTTCCACCTCTGGAAAAGCAAAAAACCCAGACCCAACACAACAGGCTCTGTCTGCCATTTGCAAAGTCCACAGAGGTGGCCAGGCAGGTTTGCAGGATTGCTGATTGCTCCTGGGGAGCAGCTGTTTTCTCCACTCTGATCCCTAGGTAAAGACTGTTCGAGGTACTTTCAGCCATATTAGAAAATCATTTCCCTAAAATTTCAAATTGGGAGGGGAATAAAGTGACTCAGTAAGAGCTGCAGAACTCAGAGCTTGCTTTTTTTTTTTTTCCCCTTTTCCCCAAAGGGAGCTCTACCCTTTTTTATATACTTTGATTTTCTATAACTGCTAGAACCACTTTGGCAAAATGATCAGCATTTGACAGTTTTTATTTAGATGTTGACATATGGTTTTTATATGCTTAAGTTTAGGGAGATGGTGAATTCTGTTGCTTGGATTTTTTCAAATGTTTAAGTTTAAACTGTTGGAATCTGCTAGGTGTTTAAAATGGATCTGAGAAAGGAAGTAGGGCATTAGTTTTATTGGGAAATAGAGAAAAAATATTTTGAAAGTTTCTTTAAACCAGTGTTTTTCTGACATAATGTAGAAGAATGTATTTATATTGATTATAGTGTTTGAAACTGTATGATATAAATGGCAATTCAGAAATAATTGCTGCAGTGAAATATTTTGTATTTATTGTGTAATAAATGTTTCATAGAAATAGCATAAAATATTTAGAGAAAATAAAATAGGATTAGAGGGAATCTATTGCAGGGCTAAAGGTTTTATGTGGTGCTAATAGCCTTTCAGAAACCATTTTGCATTAAATAGACTGTACTGCATTTGTATTTGCCATAGACTGTGAACAAAATGGATATTTTTAAAGACAGACTTTTATCTTTGTCTGAGGAAACCTTTAGCTAGCACCAAATTCATATTCCCTCTTGCAGTTAATCAGAGTCTTAATTAAACAAAGCTGAGCTGAATAGGGAAGTCAGTGAGATAATTTTAGACCCTTAATCCGTGGATATAAAATCCTTAATCCAGGGATATAAAGTCATTTTCTAAAACTGGGAGTGAGCATGTTAACATGCTTTACACGGAGGGAAACTGAGGCAGGGCCAGACTGCACCTTGCCTGGGGCTGTGCTGAGGGAGGGAAGGGAATGGAAGGCAGGGAGGTGCCCAGGACCCGGACAGGGCCCGATGTGACTCCGGGTGCTCCGGCACCGCCGCCCGGGACCAGCGCTGCTTCCCTTCCCAGCCTGCAAACCTGCCGGAGCCTCTGTGCCAGCAGGCGAGCAGCAGCCTCTGAGCAACTTGTTTTAATTATGTGAGGAGCACGCTAGCTTTCCACAGTCGCCTTTTAATCTTTTTTATATTCCTGTTCACACTGTGTCACAGATCCGTGCTGCAGTTAATTACTCGGCTCGGCTCAGAGCGCAGGGGATGAACACGGGGCTGGGAAGTGGCTCCTCGATGCTGTGCCGACCCCACGCAGCCCTCAGGCCTCCATTACCTCAGGCTTAGACAAATACAAAGGTCTTTGGGTTGCCGGTCACAGAAAATCCTTGCAGGTCTGTATTTTCGAGACAAATCTGTTGTTTAGAGTAAATCAGAAAGATTTTCATCCTGGCCACGCTTTTCCTGTGGGGTGCCCAGTTGTTGGGGCCTCATCCAGAGAGATTCCAGGGCTCCAAGCCTTGAGCTGCACCACCCTTTTCCCGTCACTGCTGCCTGAGGTTTGTGAGTGGCAGTTGCTCCTGTCTGGGTCATGTGTGGGGCCCATCACGGTTTGGTTTCCCTAAAAAACAGGAGCCTCCAGCACATCCCTCTGCCCCCTGCCCCAGAGGAGCCCTGTGCACCTGGGACCAGCCTGGGGATACACCTCTGGAAATACTACAGACAGCATTGTGATAGCAGGGCTTCGTGCTTCATCCAAAACTTCAGGGGTTCGGATCTGTGAATAATCCTGGGGTCAGCAGAGGGAGCCCAAGGACACGCAGTCTCAGTTTGGGATTTTGGACCAGCTCAGTTTTCTGGGTGCTGAAGTGTTCCTGACATAAACTCTCTGCCTTTGAGTGTTGCAATAACTTATTTTCAAGCCCCCAAACTGTGCAGCGGCTGTGCTGTGCTGGACGGAGGAGAGCTGAGAGGGAGAGCTGTTACCAACAGGAAACCCTTTGGGAAGAGACCTTTTTCTTCATATTGTGAATAACGAGATCAGCACGGAAATCCAAGGTGTGCCCACCCCATCCTCTGGTGACACCAGTTTGGCCATGAGTCT